GGACTATGTGATTTGGAAACTGGTACTACGAGCGCTTAGTTATATTCGGAAGAGCTCAAGAATGCAACTGGTCCGCTTTGGTTTTGTCGGGTATACCGAGCGATTCCCATTGTAAATTGCATAATTGTGCCCATGCAGTTGCAAAAATCTTAATGGAACAATTTAGCAGATGGCAATTCTCAATGTTTCACTATTGGAATAGAGCAAAACTGCTCCAGTATCCCAGCAACCCCGTTTGAGCTCCGCTCTTATGTCAAATATTAAAGTCAGTCTTGCTAACCGCCCCACCGTGTCTGCGCCAAACACACAGAAACATCTTGACTTCCTAGGTTAGTTGTACTCAACATAGGGTCTGCGGGACGGATGTGGCCCACCGAGGCATTCTATTCAGTCTGCGGACCCTCGACCAATATTGAATTTTTAAGAACAAAGATACTGTAAACTTCATTCGTTGTTCTTTAAAAGCTCTTTTTACCGGGATTACTAACTGGATTACCAACAAACAAAGATTGACATCAAAGAAGTAGTTGTAAATACTCGTGTGATATTGTTAAGAAGACGCATGACTTTATTCCAGAGTTCTTGAGCGTGTGGAATGGTTGTAGCGAACAGCTTAAGTTACCTCATAAAGAGTAAATTGGACTCTGAATGCAGAACATTTTAAAAAAGATAGACAATGTTTTTCTATCTTCAAATAGTATGGAAAAGTCGCCGTTTTAAAAGAACAAAAGGATAATAGCAATTAAGATCTAACACAAAAATGTGTACGATAATTTCACGGGTCGACGTCAAGCTGAAAAAGTATATTTGTTGTAAAAAGAAGCTGGTGGTTTGAGTTTTTAGCAAACGATTCGACGAAAAGGTGGCCACCATAAAAGCAAGCGATCGAGTTGCAAACCTACTTGACAAGAAATGTTAACCATTATCAGTTGGTGCGTTAATTAATAAGTGTTTGTTGGCTACTATCGAGATTTGTCTAGAAAAACGACTTCATTTGAGCCTTTTAGTCTCTCCCGTTGTACCACCACGAGACATGAAGGATCTTAGACGGGGCTTGTTGACGGAACTACGGGAGAAAATAATGAACTTCAAACATTTTTCATAGCAGTGGATGAGCAAACATATGCATCCGACACTTCACAGTTGCAGTACCTTCGAAGTTCATAAAGAAATTGCATTATTAAAAACCTTGTATGGAAAAACGACAGCCGTGGATAATGTTATGTGTGACTAGCGACGGAGCTAAAACTATTGTCGAGGGACATGACGGTCTAGTGGCAAGGCTACATCCTAATGTCAAGGAAACCAGTTGTGGTTCAAAACTGATTGGATTGCATTGTGTAATTCACCATGAGGTATTGTGTGGGCAGGTGCTGAACTTGGAAGATGTAATGACGACAGTGGTAGCCGCAGTGTAATTCAGACGTGCCAATAGCTTTAATCACCGAACTTACAATGACATTCTCTAAGAAGTTAAGTACGGTGATTTGCCATACAACAACGAGATTCAATGACTGAGTAAAGGACTAGCGCCTCAAACGCTCTTCAGACTGAGCCATAACATGGAACTTTTCATGACAGGGAAATCCAAATCTGTACGGCAGCTTGCAAATCCGAAATGATTATGGGCGATAACAAATTTATGTGCTCTGACTGCTCACCTAAATAACCTCAAATACCAGAGTACAGGGACAGGGCAAATCGCTTTCTCAAATCTACGGCAGTGTAAAGTGATTCAAGATGATGTTGCAGCTCAGCATTCAGCGTACACGGTAAGTCACATTGCCGCATTTTCAGTACTGCAATCGGATGTGCAAACAGCCGCATGTTTGTGCTGCTGAATCTCTTGTAGAACACTTTCAGCGGATAGTTTTAAGAATTCCAATTTTATTTGTTGACGATATCAAGCTTCGGCGTGATAAATTCACGGAACGCTACTGCTCATTCAAAATGACTTACATTCCCTTGAATCATGGTGCCACACATGGGTGATGAACCTGTTGGCCAATATATCACGCATCATGTCTTACGGCTGCCGCATCCCCGAAGGATCTATAACCCTAAACTATGAACACCTCCATACAAAGCTGTCCACAGCAGAACTTGGAATTAGTTACTCGTCTACCTTCAATTTCTACGAACAAACCCAATACCAAGTTGCACGTGCCAGACAATCGATGTTCGATATATCAAGCAAAATCCAGAATACTCATGCTAGATTTCAGCTTTTTAGGCTACTCACTCGCCACATCCTTGAATCCTGCAGCATACTATACGGAAATATGAGAAAGAGTGACAGCATTGCTGTGGAGAACCTGCAGAGCTCATTTACTAAACCTCTAATTTGTTAACACTCCGCTATGAGTTATCGAGAACGTTGCAATGAACTTTATCTCGAACCACATGGCTTCTACTATAGAAGCACAACTTGTTACTGCTTTTCAGCAGGTTACACATAAAGACCTATTCCAACCTGTCTACACTCACAGTACATTGCCCTACTCGAGCGCTTCGCAATATAGATTTTACACTGAATATACCAAACGCTAAAACGCAGTTTCTCTCTAATTTTTCCTGGTCATAGATAGCTATCTGCGGGATTAACTGCCAATAATACTCAGGTTATCTGACAATGGAACAATATTTAGAAGCAGACTCACCAATCACCTTGATTTAACCACCATAATCTCTATATTCACATGCGAAAAATCCCTCGATAAGCTATTCCAAGAGGAGCCCAGATAGATCTAAACAACAATGCTTTCATAACTAGGCTTTGGCCTCAACCATCCGTCAGAATGTTAATGTATAAAACGCATATCCCAATACTCCACCTATGCATGTCACTCATGCAAGAGCGTGGATAGTTTTGTATAAATTGATCTGTGTCTCCACGGACACCGTTTATGGCATCTGGAGAAATATGCGTATTGTTATTATTAGTGAAGAAATCCACATGCAGGATCTCTATCGCTGCTTGATTTGTATCCACTTCCCCAATTGAAAGTTCAATCAAAACTCCGCTACTTCGCCATTTAAAGGTTAACAATATTTGCAATCGTATACTTCTGTGAATATAGATTTTTATGAATGAAGCGAGCCAAGACGGACTGCCGTCCACTGATGCCAGTTCGGCACTTCAACGAACTCTTACCAAAGTGTGTTATTCACCTTGGACCTAACATGAAGATGTTCGTGTTTGAAGAGTGTTCGCGATCCTCACATTGGAGATTAACCATTTGGGACTGGGAAGAAAAGATGTAACATAGATTGGTTGTAACTTGTTCGGAACGAGCCTGCGTGAGTAAAAGCTCTAACTTGGCCGTTGTGTACCCTTAAATGAATTGGCTTCATCGTATCTACGTGCGTCGCGGAGCAGCTCTCGAGCAAAAATTCCGAAGGACATGTTTTTAGTGGGGAAAAGAGAGTATTCGGCTTGCGGACAAGTTCTCTATTATTCTACTGGCCACTGTCTCAGAAAAGTTAAGCACCATTGCCCTAGGTGGAGGTGTCACACTCCAAGTGACTGCTCTTACCACATTCGTGAAAGTTGCACAAAAATAATCTGTTATAGTACCTGCAAATCAGAGCCGGAGGCAACGCTCTTCTCGACAACTACACTAAGAGTGCCAAATGCATGTCCTTTTTCTGCACCACTCATAAGCAGTGCGACACAGCCTTCTCAGTCACATACAGTGGCCCATCCTAAACAATCCAAATCACAAGCAACAACTCTCAATGCGGTATATCCGCTAGGCAGAACCACAGTGCGATAACTCTGGTGGATATGAACGTACCCGAGTCCAAAGCTGGCACAATAAGGACGAATTTGCTAGCTAATCGAACCGGTTGAATTTCATCTGTGACGCGCTTGGTATTCAGGTTAAGCTCACTATGCTGAGACGTATAGGATGCCACCAAAATCAGTGAACCTCGACTTCTTCGAGTAACTCTACTCAAGACAGAGGCTATCTGCTCACAACATTTGGTCTTTGCAACTCACCGAGCGGGCTGCGCATATTGCTAGATGTTCCTTGGCAAGATTGTTCAACGGAAGCGGCCAACCAAGGTCGCCATGCCAAAAAGCGATAGCTAAAATGCCATGTTCGTTCATAGTGCCTCCGAGATTTCGGATTTTCCTGATCACGAGGTGTAAACATATGAACAATAGTAGTAATGCTACATCC